CGTTTTGAGTAGAATATGGGAGGAAGAGTGAGTGTGGCAATATGGGGAATGCCAAACATTTTAAAGTTTATCCAGGAGCACCTGGGTGGCTCAGTTGGTTAAGTGTCTGCCTTTGGCTCAGGTCATGATTCCAGGGTCCTCAGATCAAGCCCCATGTCAGGCTCCCTGCTCAGTGGGACATCTGCTTGTCCCCCTGCTTCTGCCCTTCCCTCTGCTCGTGCTCTCTCTCACTCTCAAATAAATAAATCTTTTTAAAAAATAAAAAATAAAGTCTATCCAAAGGCAACAAGGGAGAAACAAGGTTGGAAGATAATATTGGAAAGGTAGGGAGGGGTTAGATCATGAAAGACCTTAGATTGTATCCCAGATACGGAGAAGACAAGCAAGGTTTTTTAAGAATCTATGCAACATAATTAGATCAACCTTCAGATAAGCTAATTACTCATTCTAACTGCTGTAGAGCAATGGAATTGGAATAGATTAAAAATAGAGGCAGGAAAACCAGCTAGGAATGCAATAATACAGGCAAAAAAGAAGATTCCAATTAAAGCAGCGAAAACAAATTAAGGAACAGATTTGACAAATTTAAAAGAGAATCTGATGAAGGCATGAGAAGTGGGAAAACAGTGAATAAAGTCATACAAGGCCAGAAATCTGAACAACCACATAGTTTCAGCAACACTACTGAGGTATTAAAATTCCAAGCTGACACAAAATATTATAAGCTTCTCTAGCATAAGCCTTTGAACTCCACTTTTCCACAGTAAACATAAGGAACACCACTTTGCTCTTTGCTATTAATAGAACTCATATATATATATATATATATATATATATATATATATAACCAAACTCTTAATCACAATCATCCCTCAACATGTTTTATTTTCTATTATAAAAGTTAGGCCTTCAGCATAGACTATTTTCATTTTTTTTAAGATTTTATTTATTTATTTGACAGAGAGATCACAAGTAGGCAGAGAGGCAGGCGGGGGGGGGGGGGGGGAAGCAGACTCCCCGATGAGCAGAGAGCCCGATATAGTGCTCGATCCCAGGACCCTGAGATCATGACCTGAGCCGAAGGCAGAGGCTTAACCCACTGAGCCACCCAGGCGCCCTATCATCATAGACTATTTTCAAATACAGGAAAGTGGAAAAATGGAAAAATGCATCCATATTTCTTCCACCCAAAGAAAACTGCCATCGCTTGACCTGGGTTAAGTATAGTGCTGAAGATAAATATATCTTAAGAGTGCATTGTAATCTCATTAAGAATATTATATTAAGAGTAGTGCTTATAGGGGCACCTAGGTGGCCCAGTCAGTTAAGTGCCCAGCTCTTGATTTTGGCTCGGGTCATGGTTCAGGTGGGGGTCCTGGGACCAAGACCCTTGGTGGGCTCTACACACAGTGGGGGATCCACCTGAGGATTCTTTATCTCCCTCTCCCTCTGCCCCTGCCTGCTGAGGGCTCTCTCTCTTTTGAGCTCTCTCTCTCTGGGACAAATAAATAAATCTTAAAAAAAAAAAAAAAGTAATGCTTATATTTCTAAGAGTTTAATAGATAAACATGGAGAGGACATATATATATTGACTAAGTATTTTTATAATTAATGTTTTGTAAAAATAAGTCAGTGACAGTCATCAAAACCTTGTGAATCAAAAGGAAAGAACAGTGGACTCTACAGGGAGCTTTCACACTGAGGCTTTATATTAACTAATTAGTGTAATTAAATTTCTGGATTAAAATCAGAAGTTAAACATGAAGCCTTAAATTGAGTGTATAGTTTTCAAATAAGTCTTTCCCCAAGTACCACACAATGAAAAACAAAAAAGCCAGTTTTTTTCAAGATTTTATTTATTTATTTGACAGGCAGAGATCACAAGTAGGCAGAGAGGCAGGCAGAGGGGGGGTGGGAAGCAGGCTCCCCGCAGAGCAGAGAGCCTGATGTGGGGCTCAATCCCAGGACCCTGGGATCATGACCTGAGCCAAAGGCAGAGGCTTTAACCCACTAAGCCACCCAGGTGCCCTTATTTTATTTTATTTTTTAAGGTTTTATTTATTTGAGAGAGAGAGAGCACAGAAGGAGAGCAAGAGCAAAGAGCAGACTCCCTACTGAGCAGGAAGCCCGATGTGGGCCTTAATCCCAGGACCCTGAGATCATGACCTGAGCTGAAATACTTAGTTGACTGAGCCACCCAGGCACCCTTATTTATTTTTTTAAGTTTTATTTACTTAAATAATCTCTACATTACATATGGGGCTTGAACTCATGACCCCGAGATCTTGAGTTGCCAGCCCTTCCCTCTGAGCCAGCCAGGAGCATGGAAAACCATTATCTTGGAATCATTACAAGCCTATACACAACACTGAAAAAGAAAAAAAGCAAAAACAAAAACGTTCCATCTGTTCCCAAGTAGTATTTTTTTTCTCTCACCACAGTTCTAAAAAGCTTATGCTAAAAGCACATCCATGATATTGATTTCTAAAAAGTGTTGTCACATGTTCTAATGGTCCATCCTTAAGATCACCAGAGGATTTCAAAAAACCGAAGGATAAATAAAAACAAAATGAATATAAGTTGAAAAGCATCTCTTGCTTATTTCACAAGAAAATGAATAAAGCTTGATTCTTAGTAGCTTGGATTTTGTCCCTTTAAAACAGTACAGTAAGATGTTCTGTGAATTTTCAAGAAGCAACATGTTTAGGCTTGTTTTTATAATCTTGGCTGCCTTAAATGTGTGCAGCAGCTGAATCAACCCTTACTGCACTGAAGCTGATGCAGAGCTGTGATCATATTATTGATCCAAAAGCTAAAAGCATAAGCAACTAGGAACTTGGAGTACCATCCACCTTTAAAGAAAAGGCTCACAAAGAGCCTTACCTATAAATTTTAAAGAACTCCTATTTCAGCTGGCTTTCTGTATTCATTACACGGCCACTTAATTAACGACATAAAACATAAATAGAACTGCTTTTAAATGCAGAGAGGCACGCACAAAAAAACAATTGCCCTGCAAGATTCCATAGCATGTCAGTGTTTCTTATACCCATAGGGATCTTGGCTAACTAGAGAGGAGAAAGCTGGCCATTTAGACTAGATAATGTTTTGTACTTGAACTCAATGACTTCCTTGGTTGATTGTGATTTGTGAGGACTCTGCTCTTTCCTCCTACCTTCAATGGAGTTAAGTGTATATTCTTGTCAAATTCTTTACTGAAACATTGCAAAACATCTCTGTGAAGGAGCTATAATCATACTTAAATTTTTCTGCATGCAAAAACAAGGTAGAAGATCCAGTTAAGGATGGACATTAAAACCATATAACACACCTGGAATCTTTAAGTTTTTCTCTTTGAGGTATTTTAGTTTGTAATTCCTAAAAGGCAAACATGTCTTTTATCAAGATTCTCACCCTCACCAAGACTGAAATAAAAAGGCCAAACAATCTCCCCAAATGCTAAAGATACGATGAAAAAGGTTTTTTTTTCCCTCAGTTGAGTTTATTTCTCAAAGTTATATGCTGCTTTGCCAGTGATAAAATATAGCTAATAACATTATAGCTAATAAGAAGATGACAGATCTTGTCTTAAAGGCTTTCCCCGTATTTCTTATTTAATCTCCACATGTCTGTGAGTAAGGAATATACTAATTTTTACAAAAGAGGAATCCTGGCTCAGAGCACAAGTAACTTAGTCAAGTAGGCCGCAGAGCTGGGATCAACAGGTCAGGGAAAGGCCAGAAACAGAAAAAGCTACAAGAAAACGGTCAGGCTCCTTGGAGTTAGCTTCTCCTAAACATTTTTTAAAATAGTTTTTGTTTAAAAGTTTTTTGGTGAAACATAGTATTGGAAGTTTCATGTTAATTCCTTGTAACTTCAAGAGTGATTTTCAGAGAATAACAATAAAAAGGTTTATTTTCCCAGAGAAGTACAGCTTCCTCTACGGAGGGAAGGACAGAAAGAGAAAAGCAGGCAGGCGAAAACGTTCCACAACAGTGATTTTTAATTGTAAGTCAACATGGACCCTACGCCAGCATTTCGCAGCCTGAACACAAAGCTAATCCGCTAGGAAATCCGCGTGGAGGTTCACAGAATCCGGCGTAAGAAACAACGATAATAACCGGAAATCGTCTTTATTAGAGCAAGAAGCGTTTACTTAGGGGAATTACTGGATCCGTCGGCATCGAGTCCAACGCTGAAAATAAAGCAACAGCGGCCAATGACCAGCGAGACACAGGCACGATGGAAGGGAAAACCGTCGACCTGTACCAGACGCTTGTCGCATAAATTCTCATGTTTGGTTTAAAATGCACTCATGCGCACCCGGAACACCCGAAAAACCGGGAGCTCAAGTCCAAGCAGAGACGAGGTGTCTACAGGGCGCACATGACAGGGAACAAAAGAGGTGGCGGAACGCAGACAGCCCCCTCGAGTTTCTCCCAGACGGAGCTCAGAAATGAGAACCGTGAATCAACGGTTCAAGGTCGCGCGTGTGAAAGGCAAATGGTACAGTTTAATACCCGCGGGGAGGGAGGCCCCTTTTTCAAAATCAGCTTCGCCCCTTCTCCCACCCCGATCGTGGCGCCTCCGCGCTCCGGCTGAAGTTAGGCGGCAACCCCGGAAAACGCCGCGGGCTGCTTCGCCCCGTCTCCCAGCATTCAAGCCCCGGGGGGCGGACACCCCTGACGGCCAAAGGGGGCCAGGCCCGGGGCGGGTAAGGTCGCGGCCCCGGGCGCCGTCTCCTCCCTTAGGGTCGGGAGGGAGGTCCCCGCCCGCGGAGGGAAGCGGAAGGTGGGACGTGGGAAGAGGAGGACGCCGCCCCCTAGGGGAGCCGCGCGGCTGGCTGGGGGCCGGGGCGGGAGGAGCCGCGCGAGGAGGCGGCGGTAGGGGGACCGCGCCGTCGGGCGGGGCCGCGGCTCCCGCTGGCTCAGACCCCGGCACGGCGGCCTGTAGACGGCGCGGCGGAGCGCAGACGCCGGCCGGCGGCCGAGGAGAAAGGTGGCGGCGGCGCGGACGGGACGAGGCGGAGGCTCGCCGCCGTGACCCTCCGCTCCCCTGCCCGCGCCCGGGAGCGAGTCGCAGGCGGCGGCGAAGGAAGGAGCGAGTATGGCTGAGACCTCGCCGCCACCCGCCTCCGGCGCGGAAAGTTGCAGCGAGGAGCCGGCGAGGGGCGGGGAGCAGCTGCCGGAGGAGCCGCGCCGCGCTCCAGCCGGGGGAGCGGACCGAGAGGGCGAGGCGGGGCCGCCGCCGGCCTCCCCCGCGGGGCAGTCGGAGCCCGGCTCGCCGGTGGCCGCCCCCTTCTTCCTGCTCTACCCGGGCGATGGAGGCGCCGGCTTCGCCGCGCGCCCGCCGCCGCCGCAGCAGCAGCGCGCCTGGAGGACCCCGCCGTCGCCGGGCTCCCCGCTGCCCTTCCTGCTGCTGAGCTACCCGAGCGGCGGCGGCGGCGGCGGCGGCAAGCACCGTGAGTGGCGGCGGGAAGGGGGGACTCGGCCGGGAGCGGTGCGGGGGGCGGGGAACTGCCGCGGTTCGGCCGCCGGACTGTTTACCTCCGCGTCTCCCCAGGCCGCGGGCTCCCGCCCGGCCTCCCCTCCCCTCCCGGGCCGGACGCTGGTCCTCGCTGGCCTCCCACGTGCTCGCCGGATCCCGGCCCCGGGTCCCGGGCTGGGAGCCTTCCCCGGAGAAGCCGAGGAGGGGGCGGCGCCCGGAGACCCGGCGGCCGCGGCGGTCCGCCTTGGGAGGGCTCCCGGCGCCGCGGCCGCCGAGTAGGTGTGGCTGCTGCGCCGCCGCCGCCCGGGCGGCCTCAGCTGTACCCGTAAAATTTTTACGAGCGTTCACGCCGCGGCCGTAGATCCCACAGATTCGTCCCCCCCGGATCGGGACGAGAAATCGGGACCAGTACCCGAGATGTCGAGAAGGGGATGTGTGGCTTTGCAGGGGCCGCTCCCGAGGTTGGAGCGTTTGGCAGGAAGAGGCCTCCACCTTTCGGCAACCCGGACGCGGGAGCCCTCTGGTTGCAGCGGACCCCACTTTGTGCTTTGTCGGTCAACAGATGTTTATTGCTGCTCGCCGCGAGCGGGACCCTAGAGCAGGCAATGTGTCTAAAAAGACTGGGAGGAATGTGAAATCTGGTTTGACAAGACAGGGTCTTACAGTATGAAAATGTGGCTGAAGATAAAAGGCGTGCCATAAATGTCAAATACTTTGCTGTGTGAGTTCTGAAAAGGGGGAGAAACTTGCTTAAAGGGATGAGGGGATCTCTCTTTCCCAGAGACAGAGCTAAAGGTTTCTTTGATCGCCGCAGCAAACCTTTTAACTGCTCCGCACAACCAAGAAATCCCGACTTTGCCTTTTCTAACCCCTCATCCATCCCCTATGAGAAGATTAACGTTAGTCGAATATTTTCTGTGTGCCTGTGCTGTGATTATCAGAGTTAATCCTCACATCTCTGTGAGATACGATGCCACGTTTTCAGATAAAGCTAAGGGTCACTATTATTGAGTGAGCTGTCCCAGGTCACAGCCTTAGAGAAGGAATGAAGTTGACCCAGATTCCCTGCCTACCAAGCACGTGCTCTTTAAGCAAACCCCAGACTTTGGAAGCTGGTGGGACGGTTCTCCTAGCTTAGGGGCCATTGGATTCAGCTGGAGGTAGTCGTCCTGTGTGACCTTTTCTGTATTACCTAGAAAGAGGGCCAACACTGACCACTGACTAACAGTCTTAGTGAAGCCATAGTTTGTGTGTTGGAGTGGTCTGTGCTAATCTCCAGATGGGAGTCTAATCAAGGTAGAAATTAGTCCTTTAATAAGCAGAGGAGATGGAGATAAGAATATTGACCACAGTACTTTCAGTTTTCTAAGGAATCTGCTTTCTAGTTTGTTTATTTAAGCACAGCCCCTTTTTTATCCTTTAAAATTTTATTTCTGTGTAATCTGCCTATTAACTATCACTATAGAGTGAAAACAGTCCTATCAATTCTTTATAACTCTCAACAGTTCTGGTACAAAGTTCAACAGAAGAAATTTTCAACTGTTGGCCATTGTCATTTGTGGGGATTATCTGAATTTTGGTTAATTTATTTGATTCTTCCCCCTATTAAGGGTTGGCTTTATTTTATTTTATTTTTTTTTTTTTTTATTGTTAGAAAATTAGGGCCTAAGGGGCAACTGGGTGGCTCAGTGGGTTAAAGCCTCTGCCTTTGGCTCAGGTCATGATCCCAGAGTCCTGGGATCATGCCTGCATCAGGCTCTCTGCTTAGTGGGGAGCCTGCTTCCCCTTCTCTCTGCCTGCTTCTCTGCCTACTGTGATCTCTGTCTGTTAAATAAGTCAAATAAGTAAATAAAATCTTTAAAAAAAAAAAAAAGGAAAGAAAATTAGGGTCTAAGCATGATCAAGATCAGGAATGGAAGACTTAAAACTGAAGTTTCATACCTGTGATCTCTTAGTCTCTACCTTACAGTAGTAGTAGTGTATTAAAGTAGTTCTTGAATTTTTCTTTTTATTTTGTTATTTTATATTTACTTCAGAACACAGTCATACTTGGAAAAAGGGGTACTCTGTATATTAATTACAACATTTCTTGGTGCTCAGTGCAATATTACTTTCTATGATGTACTTGAGTATCAGAACTCTGGGTCTCCTGCCTGTTGACTTGAGCAACCTTAGAGCAGTTTTTTGGTTTTTTTTTTTTAAGATTTTATTCATTCATTTGACAGACAGAGATCACAAGTAGGCAGAAAAGGCAGGCAGAGAGAGAGAGAGAGAGGAGGAAGGGGAGCAGAGAGCCTGACGCAGGGCTCGATCCCAGGACCCTGACATCATGACCCAAGCCAAAGGCAGAGGCTTTAACCCACTGAGCCACCCAGGCGCCCCCAACCTTAGAACAGTTTTAAGAAGATTTCTCATTTCAGTCGCCAGGGCAGTACTTGGATTCAACGTCAACACCCAGTGAATGTTTTTGCCTCCTCAACACCTAGTTTTTAACTCTTGATAATCTATTTGCCAAAAATGCATAATATATAATAACTTTGAGGTGTTGTATATTAAGTCAGTGTCATCTTTTTATTTTAGAAATCATACTTGTATTCAGAGATTTGAAAAATTAACCTTTACATTTGAGTTCAGAAGCTTTGTTTTGAATGACACTGATAAAGAAGAGCAAAAATGGTGGGGGCAGAAGTAGTCTAAACTTTTCAGAGTTCATGATGTATAGTGTTTCAGTGTAAAATCCTGCTAGATATAATGTCCATAAAATATTCAGCATGCTCAAAGCAATATGAAAGAAGCCTTCTGATGTGCCTTGTTGAATCATGTCCCTTTCTGAGTCTTGGAGTGCTAATCTAGTACATTTTGACGCTTCTAGCTTTGAAATCTCGATGCTTTAAAAAAAAATACTTGATTTATAAAAATTACAAGTAACACATAAATCTTCTCATTGTTTAAATGTTTACCCTGCAAGCGTACATTGAGTACAAAGTACAGTTTCCTCGGAGGGGGGGGAGCACCCCCACCCCCATTTCTTTTCAGAGGCTATCAGTTTTGAGTTTGGTGAGTTTTCTTCAAAAACTTTTGCGTGCATTCTTCGACGTGGATGTATTCATCTTGCATGAGGCCTTTTCACCCTGTGTAGGACCTTCTATACCAGTTTCTCATAAACTGTATAGGAAGGAGCTACTTTTGTGCCTTGGTACAGTACTTTTAATGCCTTCCTTTTCCATCCCAACCTTTGAAGTCTTCTCATGGATGGCAGCATGTGTAAGAGACGGCTTCTTGGTGTTGAGGAAGAGGCACTCCCGCTTTGTACATGGTTATCAGCTTCTGTTGACACATACTCGTTCCTTCTTCCAACTCCCAGAGCTGTAGCAGACATTGATGTTTATGACAGTGACATGCAAATGACCTGCATCTTGCCCTTGTCTTATCTCATTACAGCAGTGTACCAAAAAAAAAAAAAAAAAAGAAAAAAGCCCAATGCAACAAAGAAGCAGCTTTCTTTCTGTATTTGTATGTGCTGTTTTGAGTTGATGGAAGGGACTAGTAATAGAATAGAAAGAAGAAAAAAAAGTGTGAAGGCCTGACAGCATTACTCTGATCACCCACTTGGAAGTTCCGTATACCTAACAGTGAACACCGTGGTTGGGCCCAGGAAAGTTCAGAGAATGAGGCTTCTGGAAACATCCACAGATGCACTTTAAGAATCCATGGTTTGGGGAAGGAACTTCTCATTTATGTATAAATGCAGGAATGAGTAAGGGAAGAAAAAAGTGTAATGTCTAGTTTATACACATACATGCAATATAAAAATATATATAGATGTACATGTGCATGTACATACGTTATCGTGTGTATATGTATATATTTATTCATTGATCTTAATTTATCCTCCATGGAAATTTCTGGTTTTTTGTCTCTCTTTCTTCTGTTTTCATCAATTAATAGTATTCCATAAAGCATTACACGTGGTCAGCAGTTGAATACACATTAATCGGTTCATCTGCTGCATGTTTTTTTTTTTAATTTTGAAAAGACAAAACTACTTTATCCTATTTCATAAATATAGAGGCACCTGCTCAAACTCAGAAGTCCTGGGGGTAGGACTGAACCATCAGAACCCCAGCACTTTGAGCACTCATCTTTATACTGGTAGATTTGAGAATGGCAGATTGAGTTGTGACTTTTTTTTTTTTTTTAAAGACTTTATTTATTTATTTGACAGAGAGAGATCACAAGTAGACAGAGAGGCAGGCAGAGAGAGAGAGAGAGAGAGAAGCAGGCTCCCTGCTGAGCAGAGAGCCCGATGCGGGACTCGATCCCAGGACCCTGAGATCATGACCTGAGCCGAAGGCAGCGGCCCAACCCACTGAGCCACCCAGGTGCCCCGAGTTGTGACTTTTTTAAAGACAGCTTTTTGGTATAATAAACGTAGAGCAGAGCAGTGTCTCAGTTTACAGTACTGTGATTCACAAGTCTTCAGCTCTTTTCCAACTATATTAAGAATGCTTTCCCTGAAAAAAAAAATGCTTACACCTGTGTTAAGGATCACTATCTATAGGCAGATATAAACACTCATTAAAAAAAAAAAACAACCAACCCCATCCTTCAGAAATGTAGCATCTTCAGACAGCATTTAATTGTAGGTTAGTGACTACCATAACTGGAGTTAGGACTCAGGAGTATTTATTTATTCACTTATTTTTAAAGATTTTGTTTATTTGTTTGACAGAGAGAGAAATTACAAATAGGCAGAGAGGCAGGCAGAGAGAGAGGAGGAAACAGGCTCCCTGCTGGGCAGAGAGCCCAATGCAGATTTCCATCCCAGGACCCTGGTATCATGACCTGAGCCGAAGGCAGAGGCTTAACCCACTGAGCCACCCAGGCGCCCCAGGATTCAGGAGTATTTAAATAGCTAAATGCAGGTAGGTCCCTTCCACCTATAGCTGCAGTGACCCGAGCTGAGGTAGGGGA